TGCTGCTGCTGCTTCTTCTGCTGCTGCTGCTGTTTCTTCTTCTTCTGCTTCTTCTTTTTCTCCTCCCCTCCTTCTCCCCCCTTCCTCCTTCTCCTCCTCCTTGACTCTTATAACTGCAATGCTCTTAGATAAAGATCCAACAAGATGACTCAGCAGTCTTCTGAAAATGCCAAGACGCAATCCCACCCTGGAACAACTCTACATAAAAATGATATCATTCCAGTCGTCACGCCACAACAATGATCATGCGAGGCAGACAACAAAGGTCAACCCTTGTCTGGCCTTCAGCAGCAAGGTCGGGCTTGGTTTAGAGCACAGCACAAAGAAAGACATTGAATGGCCAAAGAGTTCCAGTGGAGCGCACGGAATGAGACTAGACCGATTCTTTTACTTTCACTCTTGCCCACTTCCAAACCCATTTCCTCACTCTCATCGTGGACTTCGGTTTTCTTCCCTCGTTATGTTCTCATATCTGACAATGGAGTCAAGATTTTCAACAACCCCATAATAAGCTATCATGTAGGCCTACATATATCAAATATTTTAGTTGTCCTGCTGGTCCCTGAAAGACAAAATTGTGCTCTTAAGCAAAATTCCCATCTACGTTCGACATCGTATTTGAAAGATAAAAGGAAACCACGTACGTTAATTTTCTTGACCAAACAGTTCTCAACTGTCAGGGTCGCCTGCACAGATACTTTCATTTTTAAGGGGTGGGGTGGGGAGGGGAGGGGATTAAACAGTTCAAAATATTTTTACCCAATCTGTTTTTTTCTGCCACCCACCAAGCCTACAAAAACGACCTTGGGGTTCAGGCTTAGCGCTGCATTTCAACCGGTCCATAGGGCAACGCTTCTCGTGCCCGCCATCTCTCTGACGATAACATCGTCGGCGCGACTGCTTCATTAAATCCAGAGCTCGTAAATCAGATTTGCCAGAGTATAGAAATCAACTGCGGCTCCAGAGTGTACCACGCCTGCCAAGGACGGGTGGTGATTTAATAAATATTATATGCAGTGGCATTCTAACAGGCGCTCATGTGTAGGTCGACTCTACATGAAACAATGTTATTGTGCTCTCTCTCTCTCTCTCTCTCTCTCTCTCTCTCTCTCTCTCTCTCTCTCTCTCTCTCTTTCTCTCTCTCTCTCCCCCCACCCCCGCCCTTTTCCCTTAAAGTCGCGCCCCCCGCCTCCTCCTTGCCACAATTGTCTAAAAAAACAATACATGTTTTACACAACCCTTGGCACACTTAAAGCCTTTTGAGAGGTGATCTGATCTATTTCGTACTTTATTATCAGGAGTAATCTAGGGTGGGTGAGACGCAGTATTTATAGATCAACAGAAAGACGGAGATATTTGATAACATTGATTTCCTCATGCAAGAATCGAACTCATGTCATTTGTAAGGCGCGTCACGACGAAGAGCCTGACCACCATAGACCACGGGGAAGTCGATACTAACCTCTGCTGAGGCGTAATATGCTAGCAGATACGTCATTGAGGACCATTTCCACAATTATCTGTC